ATGATGTTATTATACATTTTATAATTAACACTCATCTCTACTTTAACCGTCATGCTTTCATGATGAAATACAATTTTAAAACAGATTGCACATGCTAATTACTTAGCAATAACTATATTCAATATACAGAAATTTATATCGATGTAAAGGTAGTTTAATAAAGTGTTATTTAAGTCTTTCAACCTGTACAGCTGCAAAATATAAATAAATACAAATACCGATAAATGCCAATAAGAAAGTACCATTTTTGCTTACTATCAGGCGCGGCCAATTTTGAAAACAATACGATATGACGATATTTATAATCGAATTCTGTGAGCCTGAAACAAGATTAAACTCAACGATATGGATTATCAATATTTATCGAACAAAGCGATATTTTACTGATTTTATTAAATGTAATCGACGAAAGGTACACATTTATATTACTTTTTAAAATGTTATAAAAATTTAAAAAAAAACTTTTTTTAAAGTTATACATTTTTATTAAACAATTATTTGTTCTTTCACATTGTCCCCGGGGGTGGGGGGCATTTGACTTGCTCTGGGGGGGTTGTGCCTACCAACCCCATTGTGAAAGCCTTGCATACATGCGCAGTCATATACAATCGGTACAACGACCCTGAGGTTCTATTATAAAAGGTTCTAACATTTGAACCTTGTATTTATAAGTTATAAGAGCGGATTTTCCCAATGGCTCCCTTTTTAAAGCATTATTACATGTTATGAAAAAATTGTTATAGAAAAATGACTTCTTATTAGAGCATAATAAAACAGAAAGACTCTTTCCAAATAAATAGGTATATTAAAAAAAAAAGAAGTGTCTTTCTTAAAATTAGTCACCATCTGAAAAAAAAAAAATACTCCCAGGATCAAATGGTTATTCATTTTAACTAGAAACGTAAATGTCATAATGGGAAACAGAATGGGAAACTCCCGGATTAATTTGTTTCCTTTCATTTTCAGTTTCAGTTTTAAGGACAAAAATCCGATTTTTAGTCTGTTTCATCATTAAAACAGTACGAATTTAATATTGATGATAATAACAACATGTTTAACAGGATCGTGTTTAAAGAGAAAAATTAACTATGTCTGGAACATTAACTGTAAGAATTATAATCTAACAATACTTTAGACTGTGACATTAGTGGTAAAATATTTAATTATTTATAATCATCGATATTACTGCAACGTCTGTCATATTATTTAACTATACATTCCTCAATATTGTAAGGAACCTTGCTTACTCTCTGACAAACTTCATCTAGATCTGGTGCTCAATAAGGAAACAACTCCAGTGATACATTTGCTGATTAAACTCGTGTTCTTTATTTGGTCTGTCACTTGCTTACACTTTCACTCATCTCCCAACTCTGACTTCTCCCTGCTATCTAGTTCACAGTCCGGCCGCCTTCTTTGNTAAATGCCCTGGTCAGATGGATGGTCGTGTCTGGGTGTCAGACGGCCGTAATTGGTCAGGCGTTTGATCCTTGGGTCCGTCGTGCTCCACAAGCTTGATCCTTCGGTCAGACGGATTACGTCAGGCGTGGTCCGAGTCTCCATAAGCTTGGGTGGTCAAACGGATTAGGTCAGACGGATTAAGTCAGGCGCTGTCGTGGTCCGAACTCTCCACACTACCCCCATCTTACAAAACAATGTCGTCCCGACATTACACAACATCCCCGTTAAAATTATTTATGATTGGTTTCCAAATGGCTTCGAGTGACTTGGACCTTCAGCATTCATTTACAAACAGCTCACAGTAATACACGTGACGTCATTCGCTTGGATCTAATACGTCTCTTTGTGTAAAACAATCCTACCCATCGCCCTACCTTCGAATACGACAATTGAATTCAACGGACACCTCAAACGCGGTCTCCTAAACAGTTGTGGTTAAGGTCAGAGTCAGTTTTGAGTCAGTCAGAGCGCCTCTTACATTCCCACAATCAGACAATTTTGATCTAACAGCGTTCAGCTAACAATGAATAATACAACATTTTGAGAATACAAAATCAAACAGCAAATCAAGTATCACAGTAATCAATGTTAAGCTTCTCAGAACCGAATAAAATTTCAATGCAAGAAAATACTACAAATGACATCAAGTCGAAAACTCAATGATCTCTTGGACAAAATTGTCACGGCCGCTCCAGTGTCCATGAGGAAATCTGTCCTAACGCCGCACACTTTCACAGGCACAAACACAACATTAGGACGGAGGTTGTGACCATTTGACTTTGATGAGATGTGATTTAGTTTAAACGCTGAAGATTTCGTCCTTATGGTCTCTTGGTTTGGGCAATTCCGTGAAATATGACCGATTCGGTCACAGCCAAAACACCTGGGTTCCGCCCTCCGATTACCTCTCCCTTCACGCACCGGCTGGTTAACTGTTCCTCTCTGCGAGGCGATGAATTCCTTAAGGTCCTCTCTCAGGCCGCTTATCTCTCTGGCCAAGTGGTCGGTAGCTATTGATGCTACTTGCTGTGTTGGTAAACAAACGTTGTCCCTCAGATTTAAGATTGTATCCAAGGCAGCTCTCGCCTTGTCCACGGTGGGAGGAACAGCCATAGTGCCAACTTGTGTCGCCATAGACTGGTCAGGCAGCCCACGTAAGAACTGTTTAAACCCAATGGCATCTCTTGTAGCCTGGTCTGCCATTGGGAAGCTTTTTGCAACCAATCTCTTGAGGTCTGTAGCGTACTCGGCTGTGGTCTCCGATTTCAAGAACGTGCGCTTGTCTAAAACATTTTGAAAGAATGCAGGTGTTCGATGGTCCTTAAACCGATTAGCCAGGGCATCCTTGAGTTTCTCGTAACTGTCCCTCTCAGCTTCGCTTAATTCGCTGTACGCGAATTCAGCCGCCGAATCCTTCAAAACAAACCCCAAATAAAGGAGTTTCTCTTCCTCGCTCCAATTGAGGATTTTTGCAGCTGTTTCAAACTGCACGATAAAAGTGTGCCATGTCGAGGTTCCACTGTACGTTGGGAGTTTGTTTAAACACTGGGAAGTCATTGTGCTTGCCATAGATTTTCCACACCTTGCACTTCTCCTCTCAGTCCGGCTACTCAAAAATATTGTCTCTTCAGAGTCGTTGCAAGGTTAACATCCCACCGCTGCCACCATTGTAAGGAACCTTGCTTACTCTCTGACAAACTTCATCTAGATCTGGTACTCAATAAGGAAAAAACTCCAGTGATACATTTGCTGATTAAACTCGTGTTCTTTATTTGGTCTGTCACTTGCTTACACCTTCACTCATCTCCCAACTCTGACTTCTCCCTGCTATCTAGTTCACAGTCCGGCCGCCTTCTTTGTCCGAGTTCACAGTCCGAGTTCCTTATTTATACCTCCCCGTTCCATAGTTCCTCTCCCAGTCCCGATTATACCCCGCCCCCTGTTTCTCAATTGTCGCCATGGTCTAGACGTCCCAGGTAAATGCCCTGGTCAGATCTGGGGCGGAACACCGCCCCTTCCCCCCAGCCAGCAGCCACCTCACTTATTTACTGGGTATCAAAGTAGAAGCGACCTTAGTGTGTAGGGGTGGGGGTCGAGAAAACATAAAAGATATGTTTTTTCTTGTTGGAAGCATCAAAATTGTTTATATAAAAATTGTATATGGTACAGCATAGAAGACCATAAAGTCACTATTATTCAATAGGGAGCCATAGAGCACCTGTTGTTCCATAGGAAGCCATAGAGCACCTGTTGTCCCATAAGATGACATAGAGCACATGTTGGCTCATAGGATTACATAGAGCAACTGTTGTCCCATGTGAAGCCATAGAGCACCTGTTTCTCCCATAGGAAGCCGTAGAGCAGCTGTTGTCCCATAGGAAGCCGTACAGCACCTCTTGTCCCATAGGAAGCCGTAGAGCACCTGTTGTCCCATAGGAAGTCGTAGAGCACCTGTTGTCCCATAGGAAGTCGTAGAGCACCTGTTGTCCCATAGGAAGCCGTAGAGCACCTGTTGTCCCATAGGAAGTCGTAGAGCACCTGTTGTCCCATAGGAAGCCGTAGAGCACCTGTTGTCCCAAAGGAAGTCGTAGAGCACCTGTTGTCCCATGGGAAGCCATAGAGCAATATAAATAAATACAAATACCGATAAATGCGAATAAGAAAGTACAATTTTTGCTTACTATCAGGCGCGGTCAATTTTGAAAACAATACGATATTTATAATCGAATTCTGTGAGCCTGTAACAAGATTAAACTCAACGATATGGATTATCAATATTTATCGAACAAAGCGATATTTTACTGATTTTATTAAATGTAATCGACGAAAGCCATAGAGCACCTGTTGTCACATAGGAAGACATACAACACCTGTAGTCCCATAGGAAGGCAAAGAGCACATGTTGTCCAATATGTGACCCCTGGGAAGCAATTAAAAAAACTCACTGAACCTGGGATGTAATGGATCAGCAGCCAATCTATTGTTTAAACAACTCTCTTACTAATGACATTTTAGTGGCACGAGTTGATACAATTTCGTTTAAAAAGAATGATGAGTAGCCTACATTCTTTACTTCCTCCAGCCAAGCACAGATATTCATAAACATCTGACATAAATTTCATTGATTACATTTCGTTCCTTTTTCTTTTCAGTTTAAATTGTGTCAGCTGACCATATCTGACCAAGGATCTGATCTGAAGACGCCATTTTTAGTTGAAATCACAAACCTCGGCTTCCTCATAGCAAAGCTGAACCCGCTGAGAATTATTGGGGAAAATGTTCCTCATTCGGCCATAATAAAACTTGGTGAAGTTTTAAGAAGTAACTCTTTCTCTAAGACAGGTGGCGCTCATGGTGTAGTTGATGGAGTTGCCTCACAGAACAAAGTTAGGTTTAAAGATTGTTACTTGACCATAGCTGAACAGGTTTCCGATCTGAATGCACTCGCGGGTGAGATTATAGATCTTGGGTTTTTGATAGCGAAGTTTTTCCCACTTGAAATCACTGGGACAAATATTTCTCACGCAACACTCGGGAAACTTGGCAAATCTGTAAGCAAACATTGTGCGCCAAAGTCGGGTGGCGCTTCTGGTTTTGTGGATGAGTGCGACTCACAAAAGGATCTGGCGGCCCGCGTGAAGAAACCATCACCAACAGCTAAACCAACACCAAAACCAACATCACAGCTTGATGCTGGTCAGATAAATCTGGATGAAAGACTTATCAAAGGCAGTGCTGGAAGTAGGAAATTTGATGAATCTCAAATGAGGCCGCAGTTTTATGTAGGGCCTAAAACTCGATTAAAAGTTTATGTCAGAAAATTAGACATCACAAAACTCGATGCAGACGCCATTGTGAGCTCCGCCGATCGACGTCTCCGCCATTTTGGTAGGGTCGCACAAGCCATCGCTTCTGCAGCCGGCCCTTCACTGGTCAATGAGTGTGAATCTTACAGAAGAACGCTCGAAAGTCTTGATGTCACCGATGTGTTCGTGTCGAACGGTGGACTTTTAAAAGCGAAGTATGTGCTTCACGCTGTCGGCCCAAAGTTTGAGGCTTGTACAGACAATAAACTTTCAACAGACTTGCGGAGAACCGTGGTCAGGTGTCTGGTTGAAGCGTCTAGACTACAGTGCGAGTCCGTAGCCTTGCCGTCTATCTGTTCTGGTGAGTTTCCTATATTTATGATAGCACTGAAGAGACACACAATAATGTCATGCATTTTAAGAGTTTAAAGCGCCAAAAACACAGACATCACTTATACTATAAGCAAAATGCTGGAAAGATAATTCAATTTGAATTATTTGTAGGCAATTAAATATGTATATAAACAGTCCTGATTCAATTTGTTAACTGTTGAGATTTATACTTACAACTTATAAGAGCTTATTGCATAATCTCAGCTGTTAGATCATGAAGCATACTCGTTATTTTGTAGTTTAGAATGCAGGAATACAATTATTGTTTCACAGAATTGTAATTCAAGCTTCTGTTCATGGTAATTTTGGTAATTAAAAATGTTCAAAACTATTTTCTGCAGTCGCCTTGATACTAACAAAAGAGCAAATCGCCCAATGCTACACGGAGGCTGTGAAAAGTTTTGATGACTTCGCCGACAAGTTGGGCGTCGTCCCTGTCAAGGACGTTTGGTTTGTTGATATTAACGAGATTATGGTGGACGCCATTCAGAGGAAGTGTATGAACGAATGGGACAGACCAGTGGATACGGCGGTCAGTCGAGGAGATTTTCAGTTTGCACAGAAGCACCTCGCCGAAAGGAATGGTCGATCTGGTAGCGCTGCTGTCCAGGATGAATATCAGCAGCCATTACCCCAAGCAACGAAGCAACGGAGCCGAAGCCATCAAACTGTATCACAAGCAGATGCTACAAAAGGCGCTCCAGCCCCAAATGCAAAAGCCCTTTTATCGCCATCGGTTGCTGCATATACAAAAGCCCTTTTATCGCCATCGGTTGCTGCATATACAAAAGCCCTTTTATCGCCATCGGTTGCTGCATATACAAAAGGCTTTCAAGATGAAAGAGAGAACTCAATTTACAAAGCTCCCCCAAAAGCACCTGACAAACATACACCTGGTGGGACGGATAAAACCGAAGGAAGCTTCATACCAGCAATTCAAAAAAATAAAGGTATAAGTCAGGGGTTAGCCAGGGGTCATTTAAATTATTTTTAAAAAAGTATTTTTAGAAAAATATTTTGGGGAACCGCACTTCCTTATTTGACCATTATGACGCACAGCCCACTCGTCATGTGAGAAGCCCCTCCATTTCTAGTGTAGATGATTTGATGTACGACTGAAATTAAGGACACCCTTGTGGGCAAAGAGGTGGTATCCGATGGAGCATCGTGTTTTAACAGAAGCTGAACAGTCTTCACTCGCTGTTGATCACATCTCCTTGCCGTGTTTTCCACTAGTTTGTCCCTATTATGATTTCCTACTCCTGGCCGTGTTTTCCACTAGTTTGTCCCTTTAATTATTTCCTACTCCTGGCCGTGTTTTCCACTAGTTTGTCCCTATTATTATTTCCTACTCCTGGCCGTGTTTTCCACTAGTTTGTCCCTATTATTATTTCCTACTCCTGGCCGTGTTTTCCAGAGCCATATGGGAAAGGGTATATCAAACAACTTTATTTAAAATTGGTACAATATCTAGAATTTCTTAAGACTGAAAAATCTACGACTTAACAAAAGCCAAAACCACCAGATGTATACATCAATACAACAATACTATCTCAGTTTCAAACCTGAACTTAATTATGGCTTCTTTAACTTCATTAGATTGGAGTTTATGTTGGGATTCTCTACCGGCACATAAGAACAACAACAATAACAACTATGCTTTATGTGGTCGCGTTTTGCAAAATTAAACACATTTTGGATGATACGTCCCACCCTCTTCATCACAGATACTTAGGATCGGGCTGTTCGGGACGAGTTCTTTCCACCAGGGCGAGGACTGACAGATATAAAAATTCTTTTGTTCCCCAATCTGTACGAATTTACCGGCGTGCTTCCTCTGAAGTCACACATCTGAATGAGAACTAATAAGTCCCCGATTTTGCTAAGAGAACTCACTGAATGACTGTTTGAAATAATTTATGATAAATGTCTTGTGTTCAAATTGTTTTATTTTTGTGCTGAAAATGTATAATGCAATAAAAAAACATTTCCATTTATTTGGATCAAGGAAAGATTTAAATATACTTTTATGGCACACATTGATGCTTTATGCTTATTAATAGTTTTGTTACTCTGCTCTATGTAAAAAAAAAAAAAAAGCTCAAGCAAATGTTGAAGAAGATACCCTATCAGATGTTGAAGAAGACGACCTATCAGATGTTGAAGAAGACAACCTACCAAATGTTAAAAGGGGCAGGCTACCAGATGTTGAAAGGGGCAGTCTATCAGCTGTTCAAGGAGGTAACCTACCAATTTTTCCAAGAGGCAATCTGTCAGATGTTAAAACAGGAAACCTACCAAATGTTGAAAGAGGCGACTTACCAGATGTTGGCATGAGCTGTTTTGTCAGCAGAATGGATGTGAGCGGCTACACAGGAAAAGGCACAATCGAGATCACCTATATAATTGGAGGAGGTCGAACTGTAAGTGTGGTCGACTTTGTTCTTCTATTCCGTTATTTAAGACTTTATTATAGATTCACGAATTTAGTCTTGGAAAACATATCGACTTTTTTTCTCAGCGTAGCCTCTGCCTACCTCATGACTGTTATAATCAATAGTGTAGAGTTATGTAGAGCACACACCTTTTATGTGGTTAAAAAATAGCACAAATTTTACCCGCCACAGCACAGTCTAACATCTCATTCCTGTAGCTGGGGAGGTTATTAATCTAAAGGTTTTTGAATGAACTTCAAGTGAACTTTATCACTAGACAGTAGAAAAAAAAAGCGGTCAACACTAGACAATAGATTTAAATAACTGTCAACACCAGACAATAGAACAAAAGAACTTTTAAAAAGCAGAACAAGGGAAGTTTTTTCTTAACTATCAATACGTATAGAATACAGCACTGCAGACACGAATAATCAACAGCAACCAGGTCACACAGTGCCTGCCATTTGAGTATGCTAGAACAAACAACAAAAAATACCCTTAGACCAGGATTTATTTTATGATGATAAATGAAAGACTGCGTTTTCTGTCACAGCTTTGTGTGTTCATCTTTTACAATGCCCCCCAGTAGGTGAAATAGGTAATGGTATTTCTGGAACTGGGTTGCTGGATACAATAGTGGATGTAGATGACGCTACCGTATTTTGAGGAGCAGCACTAGTAACATCTATTGCGCTTGGATTTAACCAAGATGTTAATTTTGCAAGTTTACACGCTGTCCTTGTCACCCCTGCAGCTCTTTTTCTCTTCTGTGCTCCACTCCTATAACTACGTTTCAATTTCGCTTAAAGGGTTATACACCTAGAAGCATATAAATATATTATAAATAGTTTTATTGCAATAGCGGCAATCTGTTCAAAAGATAATTTAAAAAAAATAAACATAATTATTTTTATAAAGTATTTGCCAGCCCTTTCAAACTCACAAGTGCACCGCTATAAGAACTAACATTGGAAAAGGATAGTTATGGTGTAATGAATACCATAGTTATGGTGTAATGAATACCATAGTTATGGTGTAATGAATACCATAGTTATGGTGTAATGAATACCATAGTTATGGTGTAATGAAAACCATAGTTATGGTGTAATGAATACCATAGTTATGGTGTAATGAATACCATAGTTATGGTGTAATAAATACCATAGTTATGGTGTAATGAATACCATAGTTATGGTGTAATGAATACCATAGTTATGGTGTAATAAATACCATAGTTATGGTGTAATGAATACCATAGTTATGGTGTAATGAAAACCATAGTTATGGTGTAATGAATACCATAGTTATGGTGTAATGAATACCGATAGCTCTCTGTTTTTGCGCTACGTAATGTAACATGAACATCAATTTGAGATGTTAACAGCGACAAAAAACATTTTTTTATACCGTTACCTAAATACCTATATATTTTTGCCTTCAGCTAAGACCTACAGTGACTATTTGGTTCTACTTATCATTTAAATATGTTTTTTAGACATAGAGAACAATATATTTTTTAGTTTGGAAAATTTAAAGTTAATTGTAGGTTATTTTAATAATAAATTAATTATAAAAAATAATTATTCATTGGTAGTCTAGAAATTCCTTTATATAATGCTAATTAGCCTCAGTTGTACTTGAACTAGTGCTAGAATAAACCTTCTCCACTTATTTCGCTACTGAGCAGTGGCATAGCTAGGGTTAACATGATTGTAAACATACATTCTTACCTAATTATTTTTATTCATATCTGGGAAAAATAAAACTTGTTGATGAGAACTATTCTTTTTTAAAACTTTTAAAATTGTCGAACTTCGATTAGCATTTATCATATTAATTTTGGAATGTGCTGATACATGCCGTGGCTTAAAATTGGGAATTTTAAATCAAATTAACTTGTCAAAATCTTTCAAAGTTCATAAAAAACATGTAAAGCATGATGCCTCTATAAGAGTGATTCTCCTAGGCCAGTGCCCACTTGGCCCATGCCTTAAGTCGCCACCCCCCCCCCCCCCCCCCCAGGCCTGTGGGGGACGTCCGGTCGACTGAAAACGCTGCGTTTAAAGCGTTCGCGGTCCACTGTCAATGACGAAAGATTTTTATTCATTCAATGAAATTTTTTTTAAACATTTTGCTACGAGATGTTCTCACTTTTTTTTTGTGTGTGGGGCCAACCTGTTTTCTAGTTATTCAGTATTTATTACTAATCTATTGGCTCAGCCTTCATCACCAGGAAAGTCTTTTCCGTCGAGTGAAAGGACCGCTTACCTGCCAGCCACTGACGAAGGATTTGACGCCTTGCGTCTTTTGAGGATTGCATTTCTGAGGCGTTTGATCTTTAAAATGGATGCCTCGAACCCTGCAGGGATCACATGGAACATTCAACACAAAACAAGCCTTACAAATTCCCCGTACGTATTATTGGTTTTAATGAAAGAGGGACGTATTCAAACACAAGAGTGGCTTGTTCGGATTTTGATGAACAGATTCATAAAACCAATTTTTAACGACCAACTTCAGGGGTTAATGAGTCAGTTAACTAGTTCAACTTATGGAGGGCCATAACTAATGTTTCATAAAATATCATGAATTATTCTAAAAAAATTATTTACAAAAAATTATCTCTGACTTGTAATAGTTTTAAGGAAGGCCAAATTAGCATTCATCATCATTTTTTTTTTTTTTTTTTTTTTAAATTGTGAAATATTTTTAAAATTACCACTGGGTGCCTAGTGGTGATAATCCATTTTTCAATCAAATGGACAATACTGATTATAGATTATCGAGTTATTATAGTTGTATCCGTTAAGCTGTGTATCTAAAATGCACATTGAGATTGGTCTACTTTCCTATCAATATCAGTTTACACAAAGATACTTAATAATTTTACAAAACTTAAAACACATCTAATAAAATGGCCCCACTGAAAACGAGCGCAAGGTGTTGAGCCAATTGAGGCAGAATTACCTTTGAAATATAACTAGGCTCTTAATTACTCAGTAAGCAACGACACTTTTATACAACAGGATATGATTGTTTGTCAAAGTAAATAGTTTTAAAAAAACAAAACAATATGAATTTTTAAAGCATCAAAGAGAAACATAATGCTACTTCCACTCATTCATAGAATAAAGGGTTAGACAGATCTATCTATAGCCCCATATCCAGCGTTCAATTTGATGACATCATTTTTACAGAGCGATTGCGAAACATTGGGAGGAGCCCGTTTCCAAATGTTTATTTTCAATTACTGAAGAATTCGTAAAATGAGTAAAAAAAATAAATAATAATGTTTAAAATCATTTCTGCCAACGTTTCCTCAGACATGGCTATCCAGATCCAACATATCTGACGAGACTTATGCAGGAACTGAAAGATAATGGAGTTAGACTTAAGTCTATGAGTGAGGAAGAAGAGAACTTATCACTGGAATTTGTTGAGAGGGTTATGAAGACCAAAATTACCAGGAATTAATTTCAAATCTACATCTCCAACCTTTTTCTGCCAATCACCCCCATGACAGAAAGAGAAACTTTTGAAAAAAAAACTTACCTTTATTTTCTATGTTCTATCCTTTTCAAAAGATATACTTTTCTTAGAGGTTGCATCAGTTAAAATTACGAATACATGTTTTTTTAAGTTCCCAGAGTGGAGGGAACCATTTGAAAAGAGTTATTTGAAAAAAAAATATATGTAAAATGCAATANATTCCAGATGTTTTGCTCTTGATTGCTGTCATCTCTGGATTGTTAGAAGTAATACAAATTTATAAATGAAATTAACAAAGTTGTTTATCATTTTTTTTGTTTTTTTTTTTTTGTTTTTTTTTTTTTTTTTTTTTTTTTTATTTTTTTTTTTTTTTTTTTTTTTTTTTGTTTGTTTTTTTAACTTTTTTTTTTTTGGCTTATATTTTTTTTTTTAATTTTAAAAAAAAAATCAATCGTATGTTAAAGAACGTTAAAATAAAAAATTGTAAATATTGCTTAGTTTTTTTTTAATCACATTCGATGGGTACTAGTACCAACCAGAATTCCTACAGCCAGGGGAGCTGCTTATTCCCATTTGATCTATAATTGCGTCGCTCGATCACCTCCTACTGGGACGCTTCTCTGGCCCACTAAATAATCGAGACGTCAGTTTATGAAAATTGTTTGAAAATATATGACTTGTGACTTGTATACGTTTGCTATTAATTAATATGATGATGAGCATTTTTATTTTTAAAAAAATATTTTAACTCTTTCATTCAATATTTTACGAACGATTATAGTAAAATCACAATCTTGTTGTATCTCTCCACCAGCCAAGCAAAATCGGTTACCGGAAATTTGATCGAAAGAAATTTCGTCGACGGTAAATCGATCGACGGAAATTTGATCGAACGGAAATTTGGTCGAATCTTTTTTTCGGTTCACACGTTAAAATTTTCGTCAAATTTCTATTTGAACGCACTATACTATATGGTAAAACAAAATAATGTGTTCAAAAAGAAATTTGAAGCGAAATTTTAACGTAAAAACAGAAAAAAAGTTTCGACCAAATTTCCGTTCGATCAAATTACCGTCGATCAATTTACAGTCGACGAAATTTCTTTCGATCAAATTTCCGGATACGAGCAAAATCGTGTCCATTTGTTGAGTCTGGCATAAATGATGCATGTCAAACCTCTAGTAATAACACTGCCAATGTTAACCTCAACAGCCCATGCAGAATTTTAATTAACTCCACGATAATGCTCATAATACTCACTTCTAACTTAACAACTATTTTTAGCACAGAAATCTCTAAATGCCTTTTTTTATGTGCATGCGTCTGAACAGTGAAGAAGATCGGTAAATAGAAGATTATTACCCGTAAATCCTTGATCAGTTTAATGAGGGTTTAAGCATAAGTGTAAAACTTACTTTATTGTCTTTATCGTTGCCTTAAATTATCTGATGTTTCACCTCAATGCCCCTCAATGCTAAAATAAAGGTAAGAAAGTGTTTTTTCAAATAAACTTTATTATTATTATTATTATTATTTAATGCAATATTTTCTTGCATGACGCTAATCTCCTGATGGTCGTTCGTAATTCTCGTGACCCGTGATGCTCGGAATCAGCTGGAGAAATTTTTATGATATGATAGGACCAGAACTGTAGGAAAAGGTGCTACCGGCCTCGGGGCGCCAACTCCAGATCGTCATTTTTCCATGCCATAACTGTGCATTTTTAAACATTTTTGGGGCAAAGTCGCCACCATCCAGTCTTTGCACAGGGTCGCAGGATATTTTGCTTTTGGCCCGGCCGATTTTGTAACACAATAAAATATGAAAGTTGATGTGTGTGTTTTTCTTAGAATGTAACATTTGTCACCATGAAGCACTTAGTGTTGAATAAAAGTTAAAAGTATGTTTCATTTTTAGAGTTTGACAGACCTTTGTCAATGTGAACATTGTTTAGTCATTCAACAAGTTGCAATTATAAAGGATACATATTCCAAATAGTCCAAATAATACCAACCTCATTTTTAACCTGTGTACGTTTTTTGTGTGCAGGTCTATAGATGTTATTTTTCGACAAACTGTTGGCTATATGTATATATATATATATATTTATATATAACTTCGTTGTATAGAACTAATTGTTTTTAAATGCAAGGACAATAAAGTTTTGATTCACGAGACTTGTAATAAATAATTTATTTATTGAACAATTATTTGTACATGGATAAGTTTTCGTACAAAAATCTACACGCTATGTCTTGGAAAGAAGACGAAACAAGTTCAGTAGCTAAAACAGCAGTTGGACACAATGCCTTTCACAACGTTTTCCAAGCATCTCTTTCCCTCTTTCGTTCTCTAAACAACTCACTTGTTTGCTATGTCTGCTGTCAGATAATATATGTTACATCTCCAAAATTATACTCTATTCTATAGCAAGGTTAAAAAAAAATATTAAAAATAATTTTTAAACAAGAGATGTGTACAAAAGTATTTAAGCTAATTTAACACTAAATGTGTACCAAAGTACACATTTAATTTTTTTTTAAAAGATCGCTGATCTACGGATTCGAAATGAAATTTTCAATTCTGAATAAATTATGTGTCTAGTCAATGACGAATCCAATTCGAATAACCTTAGTGAAAAAAAAAAAGTCTGTAAAAAGATGTCAGCAAGGAGGTAAGCCTCAATCAACACAAACAGTTTATCCATCACATCTCTTCAGAACAGTGTTTTTCAACCTGGGACTCCGCCCAGGCGACGACACACACAACAATTAAAGATTTTATGGGTCCGTAAAATAAAGTGTGTTCCATTGGTTTCACTTGAAAAAGTTAGAAATATCTGAATGATATTCTACCATATTATTAAATCTCTTACATTCCAACAACCTGAGACATTTAACCCCTGTTGAGTCAGTCGGTGTCTTCATGGCGAGATTGTTCTCTCATCTTTCTGTTCTGTTTAAAATGGTCAAGAAATGGTTGATGGCTGAAACGGGATATCAATGTTTAGAAATTAGTCAATCCCTTTGGGAATGACACAATTTGTTAAAATATGATTAAACATTAAAACACGGTCTCGTTGGTTCATTAAAAAAAAAGGAAAACACAATTATTAGCATACCACCTCGTCACAAAATTCACGGTCCATGATCCAGCATATTGATTGTCACATTGATTAATACGTTTCATTTGAAAACAGTGGTCAGCAACGTCATGTGCAAAGGGCTACATTGAAAATATGTTAACCACTGTGGGCGCCAATGTCCCGATAGCGCCTCATTGAAGTTTAGGAAAAGAAGAGGTGGGGGGGGGGGGTTGGAAAATTGTGTTTGGATCCAGTGAAATATAAGTAGATAAGCTCCTAAATTATAACTAGGCATGGAGTCTCAGCAGACTATCAAAAAGATTGCGAAGGTTAAGTAGCAGTAGTAATTGAAAATATGTTAACCACTGTGGGCGCCAATGTCCCGATAGCGCCTCATTGAAGTTTAGGAAAAGAAGAGGTGGGGGGGGGGGTTGGTAAATTGTGTTTGGATCCAGTGAAATATAAGTAGATAAGCTCCTAAATTATAACTAGGCATGGCGTCTCAGCAGACTATCAAAAAGATTGCGAATGTTAAGTAGCAGTAGTAGCGAAACGTAAGATTTACGATAGCGTGTACCTTTTTTCTATAGAAAATTGAAAAGGAAAATTGAACAAAGTAATATTCATTTATACGCATGCACCTCATGATATGAAAAGAAATGGAAGACCGGAAAATGGCCGACGGGCCGACGCTTGCCGACCTCTTATTTAGAATAAAAAAAACCCTTTGCTTTATTTCATCCTTTTAATAGCTTCAAATTCAAAGCTAAGGGCCCTACAATGATTTGGCATAAAACAAAAATCACAATTCTTCCCTGTACAATGCTTCAGTTTACTTACCAAACTGGCAGGCTTTCCCAGCAAAACTTTCTGGACATTTACATTTCCCCAAGTGACAGCGTCCGCCGTTAAGACATGGCGTCTTGCACGTCACTTCCTTCGTTCTACACGTCGTGCCCGTGTAGCCGGGCTCACACTGACACACGTTGGGTTTTATGCACACACCTTTACCACTGCACGATGATTCACACACGGCTGTAACCAGACAGAGAGATGAGTCGACAATACTTTTCAAATGGGACATATTTTCTTGTTCAAGTGGAGATATTTTACACAAGTTTTATCACAAAACACAGCAGGTATGTATATGGCTATTTCTATAATTTTGCACCATGTCCTCCCCTAACGTCCGACTTTGACGTGTAATTCTTAATTTGGTCAGGATCCAAAGCGAACCAGTTTATTTCCCATGGGTGGGGATTTTTTTTTTAATGGGGTGGGGTGCTTGATTGGTTCGTATTTCATTGGTGAGTTTTTGAACCCTAACGTTTTAGAATTATTGTCTTTTGTCTATCTGGCTCTACCACCACATAGCCTCAAAAAAAAAAAAAATGATATTGGTATAATGTCTAAATTTCACAATATTTATTTACAGTAGATGAGACCCTCATAAAGTAATAATGTTCTTTTATTTTCCTTGTGAGAAATATTTCATTATAAGCACTTCTGTAAAAATTAAACCGTGCCCCCCCCCCGCGCCCCCGGCCCACAAACTTACGTATTTGACACCTGACGCCCTTGTAGCCTGGCTGACACACGCACTTGTTGTGGACGACACACTCACCGCCATTTTCACACCGTGGAGTGCAAGTAACTTTCTTATCTGCAGGTAAGTTCAAAGTGTTAATATTGAGAACCAGGTCATTCAAATAATTGGTTCAAGATTGCACAAAAAAAGAAAAAAAAAGGTAAATCTAAAAACATCAATCGAATTTTATTATCAAAGAAGATCAATATTTCGCCGTAAAAAAAAAATATGTTGCTGTACCAATGAAATCAGTGATGGAAAAAGGTTTTTAATTTGTTGTAAATCCAATGTTGTGATGAAACTGTTTCTATTGATATTGATATAATTCTTGAATGTTTCTCAAACTCAATGCTAAGAGTTTTTTGTGTACATTTTAAACAAAAATAATTCACAATATACACATTCATCAATTATATATTATAATAGCATGTATTCATTT